GTAGGATGTTTTAATTTAAGGCTAAAAAGGGAATGCATCTTTACTCGGTGAATCATATATGCATCACAACCTTTTTTATAGGTAGTTACATGATTTCAGGGGACCATAAGTAATTAGGCAAATTAACATAAACTCGAATATCTATTACTTGGTCTATTACATGCTGGGTTGGCTATGTCCCATAAACATTACCAGTCCCTGGATAACTTCTCTTGCCAGAACTGTAATTTGCAGTTATTTTCAGCACCACTTTGGGGCTTTTGTGTTCGGTCTTGTCTTCAGTAAGTGAAATGCATGCTCAGTGGATTTCAAGCCAAGTGATTAAAGAGGAATTCTACCATTTTTTCAAAATAGCTGCATAATTCTTTGACTGAGATGTAAACAAAGTCATTCAGAGTGGTTTGATGTGAAATTGTTCTCTGTAGAGAAACATAACAGTCTCAGATTTCTTTACAAATGGTGGTGACAGTAACCAGGGGTCACGATGTCTACAACTCAGAGCCATTTTATCTACTATTCAAAACAATCAGTGTAACTACATGTGTCTTCTGGGGTTTTATATGCAATGTTGATGATGGTAAATAGCAGTAAATTTGAGAAAATTATTTATTTCTTTGCATGTACCTCTCCATTATGCATGTATTTTAAAAATGTTTCAGGCTAAAAGCTTCTCTCAAATTTGCTCTCAGTGTAAGAGGCATCAGGCAGCCTATACATAACCATTTTATGTAATAGCTTTAACTCTTCAGACGTCTGGTTATCACCACCACTGTGAAGAATTTTTTCTTGGAAAGTTTCTCTAGAATGAAGCATTTCATATTAAACCACTCTGAATGACTTTGTTTACATTTTACAATTAGCCTATGCGCCATTTTGATTTTTCCAGTTAAAGTGTTATGGTCATAGGTTACTTACTGATACATGAAGCAGTATAAGTATCTTAATATGTCTTAATAATTCCAACATAACACAGAATGCTGAAAATAACTGGTCTCTTATTTCTTGTCTACTAAAGCAACGGTATATGAAAATGTGCTACAGACTGTATCAGATTTTCAAAGGCTTCGTCCTTGTCTATGAGAAGAGACACACATTGAGAGAACATACATACACATAAACAAATGTGTAGCACACAGATCTGGTATTCGATATCAAAGCACAGCAACTCAGGAAAGCCTTTCTCAGAACATTTTTTAGAGCTTGCTTCCCAAACAAGGGTGGAGCAAAACATCACTCTATGGACAGCTTCCCAAACAACAAGCAGAACAGCAACTTAAGGATTGTGCAGTCTTGTGTGTACTCACCAAACAGTTGCAGTCTTATTTTGCAATGCTGTCTTTTAGCAACCTGGCTGGGGCTATAAGAGATACTTCAGTCCTACCTTATACAATGTATTATACAAACTAAACTAGAAGACACAAAGATTATTAGTATACTCAGTCTAGTGGTGAAATTCTTGGGTTTTCACACTCCAACTCTAAAAATAAAATTACAATCCAACATACTGTACCATGTCAAACTTTCAATGTGTTTTCCAAACCACGACCTCTTATTACAGGATTTGGTGCAGTGCTCAAGCTTTTTTCATCCAGGTTCTTCCACATAATCCAACTGCATTCCACTCCCCCAAAATGTGCAGTCAGGGACATGAGACAGAGAAAATTAGATCAATTTCAGTATGACCGCTCAGGCAGACCTGTTCTGCCATCTCAGCAGTATTTTGTTGAATCTATTCCCAAGGCAGTGGCCACATACAATGATGGTCACAATGGGCAGAAACCTGTGTTCCAGGATATGGTCACTTATATCCCATAATCCCCCAAGCTGTGAATGCTTTCTGAAGCTGCTTATTTCATATTTTATGGAAATCAGTTAATCTATAATGTTGATATTGTTCATATGTATGTTTTTATTTCTTTACTAATACATAATATAGTACTGAGGTGTGTAAAGCCCACTCCCAACAATGTATAACAAACAACAAACAGCTTGACATATTGTGCACATATTGTTCCGTGGTGAACTGTGATCATTAGATCTAGGCTTCAACTCAGGCCATAAATGTCAAAAATGAAGAAAACTCACATCTACAATAATGATAATTTCTGCTAGTGCCCCTATGGGATTCTAGTAGTATGTTAACTCTAAGCTAATGGTGATTTGTATGAACATTTTTAAGCATTTAGTTAAGCATAGACATCTGAGGCTTGTAAAAGATGTCGCTTGTAACAGATATTTTATCATACATTTTACCTTAGTGGTTTTACATCTTCAGTACAGAGCTCTGGCATAGAGCTGCTGCCACTGTTTTACATTTCTAATATAAGACTGAAATGTTTTGGTCAGGCTACCACTCACACTTGTGGTCAGTGAGGTATCTAGGACTTCCAGAATGCCTAAAGTGACATTTTTTTCTCACAAAATTGGTACCATTAGAAATCATGTGATTGGTTAATTTCACTGTCAGTTCCAAATTATGCTAGTGGTTAATCAGACACATTAGGTCTTAAGTTAAGCTCCTGAAGTCCTAACCAATGGGAGAGCTAGTATGGCTGTACATACCTAGATACAATGGAAAAATATCCTGATCGAATTTTTTTGTTTTCAACCAAAACGTAATGGTGAAATAAGAGCATTACTTTAATACTGACAGAGTTTAAATACAACAAGCTTTATATGATTATATTAAATAAAAATGAACTAAAAATTACAGACATTTCACAAAAATCATTAGACCTTCTCTGAGCGCCTAAAAAGTCCATACAATGACTGGAGTGCACATAAAAGTAAGAACCACACTTATATTTGTCTAACAGTGTTCTTCTAAATAGGATATTGTAGCATTGGTAGAAAAAAGAAGCACAAAGGTAGCTTTGATTCTGCCATGATACATGCTCTTTATTGAACACACCGGCAGAAAGGAGCACATACAGGACACCAAACCCGAGGGGGAGGTCACCTCTAGCCACCCTGACGGTGACTCCCCTCACACACAAAACTCCTGACACTAAACAACACAAACAACATGTACACATAACTTAAGCTAACAACTAACAACATTGAACAATACAAGAAGTCCCTTTGTTGGAGGGCACACACTACCATGAGCCTTTCTTTGTGGTGATCTGCCTGGCCACACCTCCAAAATCTCAGGCGCCAGCACCAACCAGCTACAATATTAACTTTTTTTCCAAAAGAAAACAACAAATTCTTACGTTTCACTGTATTTATGTTTATTTGTATTTATTCTAATGTGATATAGTGTTGTTACTGATAAAAGTACACCACTTACTGCCCAGATAAATAGTTGTCTTGGCTTTGCACAGTAATTCTTTTTCATAATTCACTTTATTGTTGGCTCTCAAACAGCTTGACCACACACCACACAAAACAGACACAGCTCCAAAGACAACATAGTAACACCCAATGCAAGACATAAAACAAAAAAACAGCATTTTAATATCAGTTACCCTTCATATCTTTTGATTGCCAAAACACAATATTTGGTATCTTTTCCAAGTCTAATATCTAGTCCCAAGTGTCAGCTCTTCCCTCAGTTACTAATTTGTGGCTCTCCATCGTCATATATCAGAGCTAATTACACTGAGATTAACCACTGGAGAGGAAATGAATGATTATGCCATTTGCTATGGTGCACAAGCACTAATCAAGCAGTACTTCATAGGCAGAAAAAAAATTCCTAAAAAAGTGGCATAGTATTGGCAGCACAGCAGCAGCCTCAGTTCTTCACCTTGTATCACTGCATTTCTATTCCCAAGCGTGTAATAATTAGCGGAGGTGAATTTAATTAATCTCCTTATCCTTTCACAGAATCAGAGCAATGTGAAATGAGAACTCATTAATAAAGTTTAATCATGATATTTATGAACCTTCAACTCATTTTCATTTTCCACTTCATGTTTCAATTTCCAAAATAATAAAAATGTAAAATGCTTGATATTCATACACTGTTTATTGCTTTCTAGCTTGCATTTTAGTTGCATTATTCACTGCGATTATAATTAACAATGCCAGTTCAGTCCTTAGACATGTGATTGTTTTAAATGGCAGGATTCTAACTCATCATTTAGATTAGGTAGTGGCCGATGTCAAATCCGCTAAGCTGTCGGTCAAAATATGATTAATAGGTATAGAATGTGAGCTGAATGCTTTTAAATCCATCAGCCTTGGCCAGTCATAAGTGATGAGAGTGCTGCTCCGGTATTTGGCTCAATTGCTATACGGAAATGGTATAATAGACATTATATGATAACAGCAGATTATTTCTCTATCAGCAGGCTGTGCCCAGGCTGGGAGCTGCTGACTTTAAGCTGTATTTATTGACTCTGAAAGTAGGAAGCCCTGGAGCACACAGGAGCATTAGAATGTTAACACAATATAGATCAACACCAGCCACAGGGCTAAAATGAACAAAATGCTTTTTTATTATCATATGCTAACAGCCTCTGCTCAGGCACATCCTTCTAATTAAGGGAATTCATTAAATCTGATGTCAAATTGAATACACTGTGTTACACGTCTAAAGATTTTTAGAAACATGGTTATATATTATGAAATAATTGAATACAGTTGATTATGAAGATGCCAATTGTTGATTATGAAGATGCCAAGATGTTATTGTTATGGCAATGACATCTAAAATGAGATACTGCTGTGTGCAAAATAATGCTGTATAATATTATGTTGCCATTTCAACAGTAATACTGTTTGTGACTATTATCGCTTTTCACCTAAAACTTAATTTTTTTTTTTGGATTTTTATTTTTCTACTCTATTTGCAAAGTCCTTAACATTGTGTGAAAATTTCACGATGAATGGATCAACAGAAATGCTCCAAAGTTGCTTGCAATTAAATCTCTTTCCATGAACTTTAAAAGTTAACAAGGTTACCTTTAAAGTTACTATTTTGGAGATTTGTTTTTTTTAGTCAGCAACATAAATATATATTACTAATTTATACATCTCTATATCTTTTCCAGAAATGGATTCGGTGAGGATACTGCTGTACTCTCTCATCTTCCTGCTCAGTGTCTTCGGCAACCTGCTGATCATCGTGGTTTTGGTTGTGAATAAGCGCATGCGGACGGTCACAAACTCCTTTCTTCTCTCACTGGCTGTGAGTGATCTGATGATGGCTGTGTTCTGCATGCCCTTCACATTCATCCCCAACCTCCTGGAGGACTTCATCTTTGGAGCAGCAATGTGCAAGATTGTGGCCTATCTCATGGGTAAGGCAGAGATCTTCTACTTAACTCCGGTTCATTGCATTCAGATTGAATCTAGTCAATTGCACTCAATTAGGGATCACTTGGTTATTGTTGTCATTCATGCCTTAGATTGATGAGAACAAGCACAATCTGATTGCACAAGCTCAATTTAAGGATTTACACTGTGAACAATATAAAAAAATATAAAAGCTAGCTTGAAAAAAGTATAATGGCCTTAGATATAGGATATGTACATGCATGAGTTAGTCTCCTCATTTTTATGGATCACTGCATTCTAAATGATAGCCAGACCTTATCTAGCTACAACTGATATGGCTGCACTAGACTGTCAGCAAGCAGGAAAAGTAGAAAACCCAAGTGGCACCAAGACCAGGTCTCATTAAACATTTATAGACTAATCTCTCAGTGGGAGTCCTTCATGAAGGAAAAAAAAAACAGTACTAGTTTTAAATCTGTCTGTAAAAACACAGTAAAGAACACCGGAAGGAATAAATAACAGCTTTTCATGAAAAGCTCTAGAAGTACATGAAGAACTACACATTTAAGAAGATGTGAAGAATCCACAACACTACACGTACAAATATGTACCATTTCAAAAGATTTTTCCTCTACTACATTCCTGCACTGCAGAGAAGCCATCAAAAATCTCAAAAACTAGAAAAATATATTGAAAATGAGATGTACAGTGGTATACAAAGGTTTAAGGCACCCCTGGTCAAATGACATATTTTGTTGATTTTGTAAATAAGTATTCTACAGAGAATACACTTCTCAATGAATAATTACTGTTTCTTTGCTGAATTAAAAAATTGTGCCCTAAAAATCTGCTGAAAAATATACTATATTTAAGTTTCCTGCACAGAACATGTTAACCTTTTTTCACTTACAAAAATCAACAAACGTGCAATTCGACAGAATGTTTTAATCTTTGCATATAATTGTGAACGCTTATATGAAGCAAGCATGCATAAATAAATAAATAAATACTTGGTAAGATTTCTTGAAATAAGCAATAATATTTAATTCTTCACATCACCAGTAATATCTTAAAACTAATAAGAAACTCTGTAAACATAACATTGTAGAAGTGATATAAACATCAAATATTCTGTTTCCAGGCAGAATAGCAGGATACAAGGACTCAGTATAAGTGTGTTTCTCTCATTTAAGGCTCTTGCTAAGACTACAATGCTCATAATCTGAGACTCAAAATGTTACCTTTCATACTTATTAATAATAATTACAAGTTAATGAGGAGAACACAAACCTGTTAACTCAAAATCCTTGAAGTAAGACAATGTAAGAAGAGGCAACTTCTTGAAACAAATGAAAATGCTCTGATTTAATACCATCACTATTGACATAATAACCATAATACTGGAAAGTGACGCTTTGTTTTTTGTGCCATAAATGACCTAAAATAAGGCAAGTTTTCGAGGTTTGATTGATAAAGGTAACTTCTTAAAATAAAATAATCTTACTATCACATTGCTTTGTAAGACAAGAAACCTCAAAAGAAAAAAAAAAAATATTGCATTGCCATGAGATCATTTCACTTGCTAAGATTTAGTTTTTTGTCAGTATAGTAGGGGATGTAGTATTAATAGAACAGAGGGGACTGGATCAAGTTTGCGTCTGTCCAGTGTGTACGTTTGTGTGCTCACAGCTATATGCATCAGCATGACCAGCACACTACACCATCCTCTGTCTCCCGCCACTGTTTATTTTTCTGCGGAAGGAGAAGATGGGGGATTTGTAAAGCAAAGAATAATTTCCCGGGTTGGAGCTCTGGTGCAAAGGGTGAGATCAGAGCAAAGACCTCAGGGCAAATGCTCAGTAATTCAGAGCGTTCGGGCAGAATACTATTTCAAAATACTGATAGTTTTGTTTGTAATGAAAGAGGTTCAGTCTCAGGGTTTTGTCTCTTTCAAATCCTTCTATAGTACCTTTAGTGTGAAGCATACCGATCAGTACAGGTTTCCAATGTGATTGCATGGCTAAACAAAATGCTTTAAGTGAATGAATGACAAATTGCCTCTGTACTCCACAGTATTTCACAGTCTTAAATGAAATACCATGCAGAAATTACAGCGCTTTATATACATAATAACCCCCTCCCCCCCAAAGGCGTGTTTCATTGCTTCATTATTCATTAGTGCAGGTATAAGAAAGCTTTCAACATCTAGTTTTGATTAGGCTTTTGGTCACCTTTGGAGTCTGCTTTTGCTGTTTGTCAACATGAGGCCCAGTGTTGTGCCAATGAAAGTCAAGAAAACCATTATAAGGCTGAGAAACAAGAATAAAACAGCACCAAACATCAGCCAAACCTTAGGCTTATCAAAATGAACAGGAGGTGAAAAGAAACTGTCTAAAATCCAAAGCATACCATCTCATCTGTAAAACATTGTGGTGGGGCTGTTATGGCCTGGGCCTTATGGCTGCCACAGGTACTGGCTCACTCATCTTCACTGATTACGCAACTGCTGATGGCAGTAAATGAATTCAGAGGTGTATGGAAACAATTTACCAGCTCAAGTTCAGGAAAATGCCTTCAAACTCACTGAATGGCACTTCATCTAACAGCAAGACAATGATCCCAAACATATTTCTAAAGCAAAAAACTGGACAATTCTGTGTATAAACAAATACATGTATAAAAAGTGTGCATTTTCTACATGGTGAAAAAATACACTGTATTAAAATCTGAGAATGTGCACTTCAACCAATTGTGATATACAGTACAAATTTAAAACTGTGGAGTACAGAGGCTAATAAAAAATTGTATGCCTTCGTTCCAAACATTATAGAGGGCACTGTGTATACAAACATCTTCTTCTCACAGGGATCTCTGTCAGCATATCCACCTTCAGCCTAATGGCCATAGCCATTGAGAGATACAGTGCAATCTGTAACCCTCTGAAGTCCCGAGCCTGGCAGACCCGCTCCCATGCGTACAAGGTTATTGCTGTGACCTGGGTCCTGTCCTTCCTCATCATGACTCCATACCCAATCGTCTCCACGCTGGTTAACTACACCAAACCCAACAACACCATCACAAGACACATGTGCCGTCACGACTGGCCCAAGGACCAGGTGCAGCAGGCTTGGTGAGTCATTTGGATGTTTGACATTTCATTAAGAATAAATGACACACGTTCTGATGGAATTAAAGATTGATAGGGCCTGCCTTTAGTTTTGCAATAAAGCTTGGATTCAGTTAAATTTTTCAGTGACGTTCTGAAGAGCAAGTCTGATCTACATGTGAGAAGAAAGCAATAAATCCTGGCTTGTGACTAGAGATGAAACGATATTAAAATTTTATTTCACGATTATCATGACCAAAATTATCACGATTATCGGTATTATCGCGATATTGTTCAAAAGTAAAATAAATAAAAAAATAAATACTGATACACAAACTGAAACTCGTTTCACCAACTTTTATATTAACACAAATAGAATTGGCAGCAATATGCACTTTTTGCATAAACATTAAAAAATAAGGTCAATACATTTTTAGTATTACTTTTGTATTACTTACAATACTTGTAATACTCTGTAAACAAAAGAATAGCAAATGTATTATTATTACTGTTATTATTATTATTATTATTATTATTATTATTATTATTATTATTATTACTGTTATTCTTATTCTTCTTCTTCTTATTATTATTATTATTATTATTATTATTATTATTATTATTACTGTTATTCTTATTATTCTTCTTATTATTATTATTATTAATTACAATAACTAGGGATTTCCCTGCATAGAGAATTAAATCTCGACCAACTCTGAGGTGGGTCTTAATGGAAAATTACTACTTCTAAGAAGTGTTGCACTCGGGGGATTTCTGTCCGAACTGCAACTGCAGCATTATTGTGCCGTTGTGGCGCTGAACCCCTAATCAATACAGTGCACCAGGAAAAACAGCCAAAATCACAGAGGAATTGCGTGACCGCGCTGTGAGCTGCAGACAGTGTAGAACTCACACAGTGTGTCTTCACCTGTGGAGCTGCTTCTCTAAAAGCATTAAAAACTAAAACATAACTTAAAATTAACGCGCATCTGAGCTGCAGCAGAAACACTCCTGAAGTTTAATCTCGGAAACTCTGCTTTTCCTAAAAGCAGCACGCAGCGTTTACTCGCGCGAGGTCCCGTCTCAAAGCACACTATCTTCCCTATGTAGTGCACTTCGTGGATCATGAAATAGCAAATCCTTCACCCAAGGAGTGCGTGAAACGTTCGACTAAGTCATCTATAATCAACATTAACAATAGGTTACAAATTCCCTATTTAAAACTCAACTGCTTGTTAATGATGATTGTGTTTGTTTGAACAGTAGCGCACTATGTAGGGGACACTGAGTGATTTGAGACGGTGTTATTCTCAGACAGTAAACACTGCAAGCGAGACGAGAAAGGGGAGCTGTGCAGATTGAACCTCTGCAGCGTCTCGTTCCAGAGCTCGTGTGACTGTTAACTCAGAGCTCATTTTGGAGACTCTGCTACACAGAAATGTGTTAAAAGCTTTAGTTTCGATTCACAGTTGATTCACCGATTGTTTTTCTTTTTTTCTTTTTTTTTTTGACGCTAAAAGCTTCATTTTATATTATTAACGAACCATAAGCATAGGTTAAACCACACAAACCATGACATTTCTTCTATTTCGAAGTCCCCACAGACTTCTACGTTAAAGTTAACCTTGCATTCTCTAAAAAGTAGCGGGTGGTGGTCGCAAAATGACTCGTAAAGTTTGATGTGTTGCCCCCTTTTGCCGCTATTTTCTTTCGGCATGTTCTGCAGACAGGGCGGTCATCTTCAATTAACTTTCCTTCTGCATCCTTATAAAACCCAAAATATGACCAAACGTCAGACTTGGTCTTCTTAGAAGGCTGAAATATCTCCGAATCTCCGAGTTTTTCACATTTTCATTTTTAACGATACTTTAAAGTTCAAACGGTACTACTAACCGTCATTAATTTTACCGCGGTTTACCGTGAAACCGGTAACCGTTTCATCTCTACTTGTGACATTGCTGTTTTTATATGGTTTGTTTTAAATGAGTGACATCTGTTTTCTTTTCTCTGAGGTAATTACAGGGTTGCTATATAGGCCATATCTCAGTTGTCTAGAAATGAATGCCAGGGTTTGGTGGTTTTGGATATCGATGTTATGTTATGTGGATTCCAACCAATGGCTGGTGTACTTTCTAGATGTATGGTTACAGACAAAGTATTGGGTGAAGTACATAATAAAATTACTGGCAAGATTAATTTAAATGGACAAAAATGCTGGATAAAATTCATTTTATGATAAAATAATATTCACCTGGTCCCTAGGAAACCTTCATAGCAAAAAATATCTTGGCAAGTGGAATCATTATATGTTTAGTGAATATACCGAAGTGAAATTATCTGATTATACTGGCAGATAAATGTGATTGTTTCTAGTATATTTAAGTAAGTAAATAAGTCAAATTATCCACCAATACAGGGAAATCATTTTACTTAATATTGCTTAAACCAAATAAAAACATCTACAAATAATTTCAATTATTAAATCTTTTTTTTTTTTTTTCCCAGTGTTGGTCCTTGCTTGTAGGCTCTCTGATTCAGTTTACTCCACTGATGTATAATGAGTTTAAGCCATATGAAAAACTTGGGAGCAGGCTCTTCATATCTGTACTTGCTTTAGTTTTCTAGTTATTGCTTTAATACCAGAGAGATTAAAACAACTACTGAAGCTTAATGAATTAGTGAATTAGAAGGGGTCTCTGGTGACATATGATGGACATATAATGTATATTATAATGCTACAAAATGGGATAAACACACACACACACACACAAACAAATGTTTACATATATGTGTGTGTGTGTTTGTTTATTCCTTTTTGTAGCATTATAATATACATTATATGTCCACTATATGACACCAGAGACACCCATTGCTAACACACTGTTCAACTGCACATACAGTCTCCTTAGGAAAATTAGGAATGTACTACCAATAGAATAGAATGCTCTGTAGCAGTACAAATCTAGTGTAAAGCCTTCTCAGAAGCATAGAGACTGAGAGAGAGAGAGAGAGAGAGAGAGAGAGAGAGAGAGAGAGAGAGAGAGAGAGATGTAAATCTCATGTGGCACATTCCTGGGTTCTTATGCAGTCAGGAAAAGCTAGAAAACAAAAACACTTCTCACCCTGCTACAGCTGTGTAGACGGAGATGTGTTATATGACACCATTTGGGTTATTTTAACTATGTTTTGAGCAGTGAAAATGCATTGTTGTTACTTCACAGTCACAGAATGGTACCTAATGTTTTCATATTCTGATGACTACATCACATTCATGAATTAAATAGGAAGATTTTCAAGTGAATGAGATGTACTGTGGCAGGGAAATCCCATTAGCAGGGAACTCGCCAAACTGCACAATATATCCAAGAGCATGCTATCACCATCATAACAAAATCTCATTTCTCAAATGGTATCTTCATTGGAGAAAGAATTTCACAACATTTCTGTGGGTCCATTCATCATGTTCATACAACAGTGTAAAACAATTAAGGGGTTTTGATGACAGTGACAATATAGGGTTCTATGTGCAAACAAAATGCTTCCTTTTATAAAAGTGCCACTTGAATTTTGATTGATGCGAGAATTCGAACATGCAGATTTTTTTTTTCAGACTGGTCTTGAATGGCATTAAATTTACCAGGAACGATGAGAAAATTAGCCTGTTGGCTCAGTGTGCTTGTCAACAACCTAACAAACCTAACCTGCATATAATTAACCTGCAAAGCTTTCTTATGGTTTAGTTAAAAATTACTGGATTGAACTGATAAATTAACACTGCAGGAAAGTATGTTTACAGTTTGTAGGAGTGCTGTAAAGGTCATGGTGCCAGAACTGTTCGAAATTGAAATGCATTAGAAAGCAGCCTGCATACCCACAACTAATGATGGGCATTCCTTCCCTTTTCACCTTTTCAGTGAGATCAATTCAGATCAATTGGCTCAACCCACCAATAAGAACCTAATTTTATACTCTAAAATGACTGCTAAATAGCACTGACAGTTTTTACATGCCAAAATTAGCTAAGTTAGCACTATTATCTATTTAAACTTTAAGTTTTGTATTAGATTCTAATTAATTCAGCAAACAGGCTTGCACTGGCCAAACTTATGCCATGTGGTGAGTAAAAAGGCTGGAGCAAACTTCAATAAACAAAACAAACTAGTAGAAACACTAGTTAGGCTATACAAAATTACAATGTACACTGCCTCGAATCAAGAAAAAACATTGTGTAAACCAAACACAGGACAGGCACATAACCACTACATATAACAAAATAACGAGTAGACTAGACAACCATAGACTGAAAGAAAGGGCTTGATATAGCTACAAACAATAGGCAACACCAGGGAGAGGGAGGAGACAGGGACTACAAACAGGTGAGAATCCTAATAGGGAAGTTGGGAAAAGGGGTAGGGCAAGGAACCAAAACAAAAACATGGCTAAAAAACACATGGCTACAACATGGAAGAAGCAGACACAGAGGGACAGAGGTAACTGTATCAACTTATATGAACTGCTGGTAAAAATATGTACTTTGTGTTCAATAGATAAAAGACAGAAACCAAGATGAAATGAAAGAAACTTCAAGAACAGAACATCATAAACACCAAATGACTGAAAATGATTCTAATCATGTTCACATAATCCTTAAAGGCTTGGACAATAAAGGAAAATTCTGATTGCTGAATTTAACATCCTCTTTGACTGATAGAAGGAATGATGAAAGAAAAAGGAATAAAGAAAATTTCATATTACGTTTGCGCTCAGAGTTTTCTGTGTGCTCCTGTTTATTTCAAATCAGCAGCACATGTGCCATAGAATCTTGTAATATGGTGTACACCTTTGCCTTTGCTGGGATACTTGATTTATTTAAGTACCTTTCAGGCAGTATTCCTGCCATTCAGCCACTGCTACTCTGGACATCTTTTAAGACTTAATGCCATCTCTTTTCCCAGGTGCATCCTGTTGCTTTTAATTCTTTTCTTCATACCTGGAGTGGTGATGATCACAGCGTATGGGCTTATTTCTCGAGAGCTCTATCGTGGAATACAGTTTGAGCTGGAGCAGAAGAAGGGCCAGTGTGGTGAGGTCTACTGTTATTCACATGCCACCATCAGAAATGACTAGTTTTTAATGAACACTGGATAATACCACATAACCTTTGAAAAACATTTCAAAGGGGATTTAGCCAGCTAATCCCTCAGGACATATTAGCTGATGTTCTCTCCAAGGATGAATTTGATCGTCTCTGTGCTTGGACACAGCCATCTGCTTAAAAAATCTCATCTGAAATGTAGTGAATGGGACTTAATTTTCGAAAGTAATGTGACAAGGTTTCTAAAATGAGCATAATTGAACTGATTTTCCATAGCCTCTTTCCATTTGTATTTCAGTTGTTGCAAGCATCATTAGGAGTTTAGTACCTGCTGTTTTGCTTAGACTGCACCTAATGCTGAATTCCCCTCTGTGGTACTAAATTAGTGGAGTTCTATTAGCGTCATAAACGTACCTCCTCTTCCTCTTGATTTGTTGTCCAGCTCTTAAAATTACCTAACCATGGCCTGAGTCATTGCCCTTCTTATTAGTGCCCCACTAGCATTTAGACAGACTCCCAGAATGTCATTTCTCTTGACATATTTACGCTGGTAATTTGTTCGCTAATGGATGGAACTCTTAAATATAAGAATATCAACAGGAGTTTCTGAATTTGTGTTTAGTAAATCACAGCACTGAATTACTGACCCCCAAGTTTTATTCAAACTTATCTTATTGTAGAATGACTAGTGACTTTGACAAAATATATACTTGCTTCAATGATGATGATGTAGCAGTCTGTATGCCTTGTAAAGACCATTTAAAGTCTCAGTGTTACTTTTTCTTCAGGATTGAAGAATGGTGCCAGTGCTGCTGTCTCAGCTGGCAGTGATGACGGAGATGGTTGCTATATTCAGGTATCAAAGCGACCCAACTCCATGGAGATGTCCACCCTCACCCTAGCCAGCTCTACCAAGGTGGACCGCCCTCGGAGCAACACCTCAGAGACCAAACTGATGGCCAAGAAACGTGTGATCCGCATGCTGATTGTCATCGTGACCATGTTCTTCATCTGCTGGATGCCCATATATTCTGCTAATACATGGAGAGCCTTCCATCCAGCCTCAGCCCACAGAGTTCTCTCCGGAGCCCCCATCTCCTTCATCCACCTGCTGTCTTACACGTCCGCCTGCGTCAATCCCATCATCTACTGCTTCATGAACAAGCGCTTTCGCAAGGCGCTGCTGACCACCTTCTCTTGCTGCTGCAGGCCACGCCGCCCACGAGGCTTCAGGGAGGGAGATGATGATGTCACTGCTACCGGGGCATCAGTATCCAAATTCACCTACACCACGATCAGCACCATGGGGCCATGCTGAGTCCTAGGATATAGCCTGAGGTAGCTGGGTCATGCATGACCATCTAACCTCTATGGAGACAGTGGGAAGGTTCAGTTGATGGATGTGAATAAATGGCCTGGCTTCATGCAGAACTCTGAGGACAGGTCAGCTTCTCACGTCAAGAAGAATAGGCTATGGGCCAAGGTTTGATTTTGCAGTGAGTGAGATGTTGCTGCCTGAGGTTAACTGTATAGCAGCAACAGAAGCATCAGCATGCTATTTCATCATTCAGTATTTGGTCATCTGTGATTGCCCATATGTGCAGTATATTCCTGTACGTATTTTGATGTGTACAGTAACTTTCTGTTGTGCATTTTAAGTGCCTGCTTAGTATTGTGTTGCTGATGTTTTCAGTATTTCTTATGTGCTCAGTGGGCTAAATAGCTATTAGTATTTGGCAGGGAAGTATGATTTATAGGTAATGGGTTAAGACAAATAACTCATGAATAGGGACCCAAGCACAACATCACAGATGTACGTTGGGAAAAGAAATCAGCTCTTGCTGTGATTTTGAAGTTCTTGTGAAAAAAAGGAAAAAAATGAAAACATCACAGGGCTAACTTGGGCATTTTCAGAAGCTGATATTTGTTGACTTGTTATTTGAGAAAGTAACAGTGTGTATAAAGATTTTGGTGCAACAGATGCAGCAGGCCAGCTGCCAGACTGTGAGATGGATTGTGGACTCTGCCCCCGCACCCTTTAGCTGTTATTCTCTCTACAAAACTATACAGAGCAGGGGAGTCACTGTTTCTCACTGTTGTCTGCTCATTTTGTCGAAGTCGCTCTGCCCTTCGCTGGCTGTGGCTCATCCATTCCAGTGGTTCTAATAGCTGGTGACCTCTGTGCTATGGACTTGTGGGTCACGCTAAACTCGTCCAGAGCTGTCACATGGCCTCAGGCTGATTTATAGTTGCTTTTGTGCTTTTGTGTGCTCAGACATTACATATCTCTAAACAACTTAAAACACTCACAGACCTGCTCCATCCAATATAGAAAAGTGCACTCAAAAAAGGAAAGAAAAGAAAAAAAAGAAAAGCCTGAATTTTCTATTGTGTTACTTTCTCAATTCTCTCTCTCAGAAAAGAAAGAACGAAGATAAAGCACAGGCACTCACTTTAATGCTCAAGCCATGCCAGGAAAGCAAGATGGGAGATTAAATGTTACAGAGTCCAGTTGCTGAGATGTTGGGTGTTGGTCATTGTAGTGCAGTGTACTGAGCTACAGAGCAATTATGTAAAGAATCCTTTTAGTCAATTGACTTATTCTCTCATTCATTTGCATGGCACTCCATTCACTCATGTAAAGTGTTTCCCAAGATTATGCCTAAATATGCAGATGGTTCACTGAAATTCATTCAGAACGTGATTCAAATTACCTCTAAAGTGCACAGCGTACTGTTTGAAAGATGAATGTGGAAAAGAGCAAAAGCTACAGAGATAGTTCAGTGCTTGAAAAGTGCTGCTGGAGATGGAAGAATATGAAAATTTCCCCTCATGACAACTGAACAAAATGGTCATAGTTTTCAGTATTTTCAGTTTTGTTAAAATATACAGAAAAAGCACTAAAGTACATTGAAATAATTTTACCAGAGGTATTCCACTGATCGACGTTTAATTGAACCTCATATTTCTTTACAACAATATTTTTTTACATTTTACAGAACAACTATAGTGTTAATAAAAATAAAATTATTACCAGCATTACCACTGTTCACTGCTCAGGTAGTTACAGTTTAAACAATGCATGCTTTTTGAATGGCAGGTACTCGTACATGTTCAACAGAATTAGCCCTGTGCCTGGTGACTGTTAACCAAGCCTCCCTTTATGGGTGGCTTAAAAAAAGAAAACATTGTCATAAATCATGTATTGAATTATTTAATGCAAACCTTAGCAAGACACTAACATTCCAACATGCGAACATAATTGAACTTTTAAACATGTTGGGTGATGTGATATCCTACATCAGGGGTGACCAAATCCTGGTCCAGGAGATCTACCATGCTGCAGAGTTTAGCTCCAACCCTAATTTAACATGCCTGATCCAGGTAATTCAGTCTTTTTAGGAGCATATGAATATTACAGCCTGGTGTGTTGGATCTGAACTCTCCAGGGTGGCAGATCTCCAAGACCAGGGCTGTACACCCCTGTCCTACAACAATACCATATTTATTATGTACACAGCAAGGACTGTTCTAGAAATCTGGCTGTTGAACAGCACTGGTTAAACACCCTTAGGGAAGGCACTGTGTGCTGCTGTGGCAAGCAGACATTATAACAAAAGCTACCTATGTTATGGTGTTATCTTTTTTATTTAAAAAGAACTTCATCTTAAACCTTGAGCCTTCGATCACTGTGGGCTTAAAAAAAAAACATGGTCATAAATCATTTATTGATTTACTTCATGCAAACCATAGAAACTTCGACTCTTACACTATCACTGTGTTTGCTTCTTCTTCAATGTTAGAAACTGTCACAAAATCACCAGAAGAAAAAGTGTTGCTTTTATCAGTGTTATTACTGCTGTGTGTGTTTTCTACACTTTGTGGAGATAAAAAAAAAGGTAAAGCGAAGGAAGAAAAAAAAAAACCCTCACCACCCTCAAAAACACAGTTTAACCATTTATTGCAGTTATTTAAACACAGTTACCTGAATAAAATGATTCTTTTACTGGCACAGGCCTAATTATAATTAATATATTACAATCCCATTTCCAAAAAAGTTGTAACTCTGTGCAAAATGTAAATAGAAAGAGAATGTAATGATGTGCAAATCATTCAAACCCTATATTTAATTGAAAATAGTACAAAGACAACATATCAAATGTTGAAACTGAAAAATTGTTTTGTTTTTTTTAAATATATGCTCATTTTAAATTTGATGCCAGCAACACATTTCAAAGACATTAGGACAGGGGCAACAAAAGACTGGTAAAGTTGTGTAATGCTAAAACACACTGCTGGTTACTTGGCAACAGGTCAATAACATGATTGGGTATAAAAAGAGCATCCCAGAGTGGCTGAGTCTTTTAGAAGGAAAGATGGGGAGGAGTTCACCACTTTGTGAAAGACTGTGTGGGCAAATAGTGGAACTATTTAAGAATAAAGCAAAGATCTTGGGGATTTCATCGTCTGTGATACATAATATCATTAAAAGATTCAAAGAATCTGGAAAAATCTCTGTATGCAAGAGAAAAGACTGAAAACTAATACTGACTGGCCGTGATCATCAAGACTTCAGGCAGCACTGCATTAAAAACAGACATCACTGTATGGGCTCAGGAACACTTCTGCATCCACAAATGCAAGTTAAAACTCTACCATGCAAAGAAGAAACAACATATACACAGGATCCAGAAACGCCACCCCCTTCTCTGGGCCCGAGCTCATTTAAGATAAACTGAGTAGAAATGTAAAAGTGTCCTGTGGTCCAACAAATTAACCTTTGAATTTCTTTTTGGGAATCATGGACACTGCGTTCTCCGGGCTAAAGACCCTGCACCTTGTCGTCAGTGCACAGTTCAAAAGCCTGCATCTGTGATGGTATGCATTAGTGCACATGGCATAGGTGACTTGCACATCTGTGAAGGTACCATTAATGCTAAATGATATATACAGGTTTTGTAGCAACATATGCTGCCATCCAGATGATGTCTTTTTCAGGGAAGGTCTTGCTTATTTCAGCAAGACAATGTTAAACCACATTCTGCATGTATTACAACAGCATGGCGCCGGAGTAAAAGAATCCGGATGCTAAACTGGCCTGCTTGCAGTCCAGACCTGTCACCCACCAAAAACATGTGGTGCATTGTGAAACGAAAAGTATGATACGTGAGACCTTCAGCTGTTGAGCAGGTGAAATCCTATATCAAGCAAGAGAAGGAAAACATTCCACTTTTTAAAACTGCAGGAATTGGTCTTCTCAGTTCTCAAACGCTTAGAGAGTGTCGTTAAAAGAAGAGGTGATGAAACACAGTGGTAAACATTCCCCTGTTTCAACTTTCTGAAATGTTTCACTGACATAAAATTCAAAATGGGCATATAATTTTCAGAACATGATTTGCATATCATTGCACTTTATTTTTATTTACATTTTGCACAATGTCCCAACTTTTTTGAAATTCTGAAATTTGAAATGTCCACCATCTATTTTCTTTCTGTTGCTTTTCTCTCTCCTTTCTCCTCCCTCACAGCTGTCTCCTCCTTTACTCTACACTCATTCTACAATTGTTTATTTTCCCTTGGCTAAGCACGTTTTGCTAATCAATGAGCATCTGCTGTCTGCGGCTGCTTTTCCACTGAACAGTGAAAACAGCTTACTCACATGCTTCCCCAGGCTCCTCTCCGCAAGCACGGCTCTGATTACAGTCCATCGAAACAACATGGCACAAACCCTGCACATTCCTGCATTCAATTCATGAAGCTCAGTCTCTCCAGCTTGCACTAATGTCTCTGTCAGCCTTGTAACCGCATCCCCGGATATGTCACTCAGAGCTTGGATTAGGAGTTTTTATTCTTGTTCACACCCCGAGATTAGTGTGCAGGGACAAAGTGACAGCAGCTACATTCTTTGCTGACACTTCCAAACAAGCTTCACCTAAGCTTTAGACAGGTATGTGTAATAACAGTAACACATGGGAAGATGTCTGAGCATCACTGTACAGTTTTTATCCCAATGGAAAAATCACTTTTTGTTCCACTCACAAAGTTGATTGTGATTGACGTTGTGAGTAATGGCTGCTTACTGCAGCTGCATGTTAATATTTTATTGTAGCTGAGTAAAGGGTAAGCTCAGTGGATGCAGTTTAGTATGACATTTAGGAGCACATTGTTTTCAGCATTACGTCAGCGTGACATTAGGAGCACTCATTATCTGTGGTATTAGCACAAAAGGAATTCATTAAAGTAGAACCATAGCCTGGTCAACGTTATTGTCCTGAGCAATCATATCATTGCTTGTTGTTCTGAGAGATTAGACAAGCCTCAACATGCACACATGTATCTCCTTTGAGAAGACTTGAGCTGTGTGACTCCTTCCAGCTGTACATTTACATATATATTCATGCAGAGGGTCCCGAAAGCAGATGTACAGGCATACGGAAGTAGCTGAGATAAAACGTGATTGATCATTAAATGTCATAACGGAACTTGTGACTAAAGATTCTTCTTCTGAAACTTCTAATGGTTCAAGCTGTACGAGTACATGAGAGTTCGTGGAAAGATATTGCTTAGAGGAAGTAACCTATGAAATATGGACTCAGACGGGGTCTTACTGCTGTCTTCAGTGATGGATCACTGCGGTTGAGGCCCACCTGACATGAGAAAACAGAAAACAGCAGCACATTTAAGGACAGAGCTTCATTCAGTTTCAGCCCTAAAGGAAACTGCTTCACTGAATAAACATTCAATGGCTTGCCTCCCACAAGCCAAACGTGAATACTATTCAATTTCACGCAGTTAAATGAATGTGCCAAATGACACAGTAACAACATCTGCTCCATAAATTCTTAGAGACAATGTGCTCAACGTTTTACAAACACTTTAGCCTGTGGAAACATCCGGTTCGGAATGAGCTGAGAGACACTTTAATCGCCCGGGCGTCATAG